ATGTAGACTTTTAGCTGCATTCTGTGAATCACCCTATTCAGTTAACATATCAGAATACTGCAGGCAAGACTTGGCTGCCAATAGAGCAGGTTGAAAGAGGCCGTACTGAAAACAATGGCTATTCATTGAACTGCCATGGAAAACACATAGGAGCTTATTAAAGTCATGTCAGGCTAATTGGCCAGTTGAAATACATATACAGGAAGTGTTGTTCCTGGCAAAGGATTTCTAATTCTGTGATCTAAGCTTTCCTACCAGACAGCAGAGCCAGATCCTCAACCTCTACTGACCCAGGAATTGGTCAGAAACATAAGTGACAACATAACTCCAAGATTTAGAGTTTTTCTATGTGTCTGGAATTCTGCTTTATTGTAAAGTGAGCCCTATGCCTTGATTCTAGTGTAATTCCAAATTGTGAGCAAACATTTTTTTTTTTTAGTTGTTGATAGAGTGGAGTGGGGTTAGAACCTCGCTTACATATTTATTACTGCCGGAGGCCTTGTTTGGGAGATTTCCCTTCACTTCCTGTTCTGTCACCAAGTTAAAATCTGCAACAGTGGCATACCAGCAGCCTAGATGGGGTTCTAGCCTTCCACTGAACGACTAAAAATAGTTTTTATTGCTGTCTGTCTCATTTGGGGATTTTCTTTCTTTTTCTCAGCCAGACACAATACATTTATCAAAAGTGGAGCAGAAGAATCTGGAGCAGTTGCCTATGGCAACCAATCAGCTTCTCTCTTCAGTTTGTTCAGTTAAAAATTGAAAATGAAAGGTGGATGCTGATTGGTTGCCATGCACAGCTGCTCCAGATCTTGTCTGCTCCAGTTTTGATACATTCCCCCAATGTTCTTTCATGTATAATGGATAAAAAGTCGTATGGGATCCCAAGTTTTTAAATAAAATGAGGAGAGTTATAATCTCAATATATAATAGGCAGATCCTCCCACCATCTTTTCATGACAGGAAGTAAGGGCAAAGCTCCCCACTGGAGCCTATGATACCAGTAAAAAGCTGACAGAGGGATGAGCTCTGATTCAGACACAACGCGGTTCGCACCTGAGCTCTTCCAAACCAGGAAGTGCCATGCGCACTACCACCCAATCAGCTGCGGGCTGGGCATTCCCTGCAGCTTCATGCAAAAAAAAGGAAGGGGTGCTTGTGTTGACACCATTGACCTAATATAGCCACGTAGCCATATAAGGTCAATGTAATTTACCAAATATAGCCATGCAGCCATAAAAGGTCAATGTAATTCACTAAATAGCCATGTAGCCATATACGGTAAATGTCATTTACCAAATATAGGCATGTAGCCATATAAGGTCAATGTAATTTACCAAATAGCCAAAAACAGTAAATGTAATTTACCAAATATAGGCATGTAGCCATATAAGGTCAAGGTAATTTACCAAATATAGGCATGTAGCCATATAAGGTCAAGGTAATTTACCAAATATAGGCACAAAGTCATATAAGGTCAATGACATCACTGCATCCCGCCACTGTGCATACATCAAGCTGTGATCGGGGAAATCCTCATCCGCAGCTGATTGAGCAGCACAGAAGAAGGGTGGAGCACCATCTGGGTTCACAGGAGCTCAGGTCAAGCCTGAGCTCATCCCTAGTTCTAACCCTTCCCCCAAGTTTTGGTTTGAGGCACACTTTAATTTCACTATGGTTCTTTCTAGCATCACATTTACTATTCTTTGTACTTAGGATCACTTTATGGACAGTCGTCTTATATTCAGCACGTCATAGATGGAAGACCACCCCCTGCACGAAGGACAACATTACAGAGGTAACAATGAAATGTTGATTGCCAGATGAACCAACTTTTCTGTTTCTTCCAATGTAGCAAGTGATTGCACTGCTGTTATATAGCAATGGGGGAGCACAGTAAGGTACATATAGGATTGCCCCGCTCACCAGGACTGGCTCACAGATACCTTGTAATCGGTAAAAAAATGCCTTTTGTGTAAAACCAACAAGTATTTTTTTAACTTATCAAACAGATATAACAAAATGCCTGACCATAAGGAACCCAAAAAGGGAAGTTTGTTGTTCGGGTTTACTTACACTTTCACTTTTTTAGAAGTATTGGAACTTCTGTCAGACTATGAATGCTATCTCTGTCTCCATAGAGAAGATTTCTGTTCTCTTCCTCTACTGTCTGACACCCATCAGCTGGACATGAAGTGAGGGGAATCTTCCTCACGAGAGTGACTGATCTCCTAATCCTTCATTACTTGTTTTATTTTTGGTTTAATTTTTTTACATTTTGTGTCCCAGTTGGGGGATTTCCCCTCACATCCTGCTTGGTCTGACACCTGTCAAGTAGAAAGAATATGAGAACAAAATTTCTAAATGGTAACTTAGACCAAAATAAACAGTTGACTGAACTTCTAACAATTCCTCATTCTATCCATAACAAAAAAAATTTACTGGCTGGGATTTAAAGGAGAACTCCGGACAAAATTGTTCTTACACTTGCAGTGGGGCTACCCCCACACAGAAATAGTTATCTAGGTGCTAAAAAAAATGAATGCTCTCCTGATCCTGGGAGCTGGCTCGCTATTAGAACGGTCCCTGGACCCTCTCTCCCCCTCTGCTGCAGTGGTCTAAGGATCCGTGAGACATCATGTCCTACACACCGTGTATTAGGACATGAGGATGCCAAGGGACACACCACTGCAGTGGAGGAGGAGGAGGCAGGCTTCAGGGACTAGAGTTGCAGCCAGCTGGCTCTGCAGTTTGGGTGACCATAACCTTTTTTTGTAGCATCTAGACAAAAATGAGCACTTAACCCCTTCTGTGTAGAGTAACTCCACTGCAAGGGTTCAGAAAACTTTTGCCTGGAGTTTTGGTTTGAAGCATTATTTACCTCCAGGCTTGGAGGACTGAACACAGTTCTCCATGGTAATGGCTGCTTTTCAAACAGATATTATACACGCATCAATTAGCACTCCTATTAAAGTGACTTTGTGGTCACACTAAACTAAACATGTGGCGAAAACAGTTCCCTACAAAACAAGACAATGGCGGCGGGCACTGCAGCCTCTGCTAGTCTTTTTGTTGTTTGACACTTTTGGGGGTGTTGAGTGCCAATGCCCCCCCCCCCACCATGTGTCCGTTCCCAAAACCCTACATCACTGCTATGTGCTATAATGATGTAGGAATGTATAGAAAAGTAAGCAGGTCCAATGTATCGATCCGTCAGATTCGATGTCAGAGAAACATGGCATCACATGACGTCGCACTATTTTGTGTCTGATGAAGGGACCACACAAGGTCTCAAAATGTTGCATTTGCATGTGATGTCACGATTCTCTGATGTCAAATAAAGAAGGATCGATTAAGTGGACATCTTGTAAGCTGGTGGCTTACTCTTCTATACACTGATCCACACTGCGCCATCCACATGCCATTTCAGCAGCCACCAAAATATTTGAAGTGGTATTCTGGTCTGGAGTGCGATGGGACATTTAGGTAATGATGTTGGAGTCGCACTGAACTACAGCAATTGGCGGGAAACACTTGCATCCAACACTGCCGTCCGAGGCTAGCAGAGGCCGCAGTGCTGGAACAGAGGGAAGGTAGAAGATACAAGCAGCTGGAGAGATGACTATACAGAGTCTAGTTTTGCAGAGAATGTTTTTTTGTCAGTGCAATGCCAACATTTCTTTAAAGCGTATTTCCACATTTGCAGTCAAATTTGAGAACTCCGCCACTATATGTTTGTTATGTGTTCCCATTCACACAGCATACCGAAAAATGTTCTTACCTTTTCAGTTGTTTCTTTGCAGCAGGATTATACATAGGGCTCTGTTGGCAGCGTCTACTGCTTTGGAATGATGGTAGTGTAGAGGGCCAAGACTGAGAGGCAGTGTTTTAACATGTAATGTCTTGACATCTTTAACCCTTTTTTTTTAGGACAGACAGTGCTGCATGTCTAGTTAACAGCTGATGAATGAAATCTGCCAGCACAGGTCATTTATGGCAAACACAACTCCCCAGCTCCCCTTTAAACATTGCATAGCGAGAACTAGGTAACCCTGGAGTTCAGAAAAGAACATTTATAAAGGTAAGCAAAAATTGTTTAATTTTTTGTTGTTTAATTTATACCATGTGAATGGAAACACACACACAGTTATCCCAATTTGGCTGCAAAAATGTTAAAGGAAGGCAGCAATTTGTTTTTAAAGTTATTGTATGAGAATGGGAACATGTAACACATATAAAGCAGTTGTTATCCCAATTTGGCTGCAAAAATAGTATCCCAATTGCTATTCCAATTGGCTGGGATTTTTTTAAAGATTAGGCTGATAAGTGCCTTAAAGGTTTTCAAGAAATCTGCCCAAAATTTGTTAAAGGATCTGTACATTTTTGCTGTATACATTGGGGGGAAATTTGGTTTCATCATCGTCATCTTTTAAACTGTCATATCCCTGATTTCTAGTGCATATAGTGACAGATTTATTATCCTAGTTTATGTATCATTCCTAAATGCCTTCATGAGGAGAATTGTCTCTAAATTGTCAGAAGCTTGCAGGGAGCCTCCAGAATGACAGCTGAATAGTCCTGAAGTGCTCAGCTGACTTGAGGAAATGAAGGTGAATTATCTTTGCACTACTTTAAGAGGTGCTCTGGAGCACTTGTAGGATGTGCCATAGTTTGCACTTCTTTTAATGATGCAAATACTTTGCAGTTGGTTAGCATGACATTATGGCCTTTGGAGCAATAAACACGTTCATAAATCCCCCCCCACACGCTGAAACCTTACTGAACTACTAGGCCTAACTATATTTTGCTCTTCGACCTAATAAATATCATTCTTTTCAGTTAACATATCATAATAGAGTTATTTATTTTCTATTTATTATTAACCAGCTGAGTATTACACCGGCGTAGGTGTGCGCATATCCAGCCCATAAGTGCTATAACAAAAAAGATTTACTGACCACGCCATGAGAAAATGTATACTAGAAATGCATTAAAAATAACATTAACTAGCAATAGAGGATCGATTGATTCATGTATTAGAGACCAGACAATTCACTGTTAACAGAGGGTCTTCTCATTTTTGCGGCACAGGAAGCACTAAACTCCTTCCATGTTTATGATCTCATTTGAGTAATGGCAGGCATTCGGCAACCATAATGCAACCCTTTTTAACTGTCACATGACTAAAGTAAACACAATTCACTCTTAAATATTAAAAAAAAAAATTAAATAAAATAAAACCTCTAAACAAATCACAAAAACTCAAAAATGTTGTTGTAGAGAGATGTCGAAAAAGAAGCCTACTACAGTGTAAGACAATTATAAAAATGTCATTGTTTTTCCTTGTGAGCTAAGCAGGGCAGTCCCAAATGTCAGTGCAGTTATTGAGCTGTACCGTAGTAGGATGTTCCAATCCGGTAAATAAAAAAATCCTCTCCAGGAATGAGTACCCCTCTCCAAACCCCCCGCCCCCCCCATCAGACCTGTGTCTCCAGCATGAGTACAGATCACCCCCGTCACTGCCATGGCTCAGGAAGTGATGGGGACTGGGTATATACCCCTACATTAGGCATCAGTCTTTGGGGACAGAGAGATCAAGACTCGACCTTCTCCTTTTCCTTCTTTTTTCCTTTCTTTAGAAATGAGGGAGTACGGAACTTCTTCTTCTTTTTGGAGGGGGATTTAGTTGGGGATCCCTCCGGAGAGGCATTGGACACCGTCTCAGTTTTCCCTTTGGGGGTTTCTGCAACTTTTGGAACAGTTTCCTCCTGAGCAGGCTGATCCTCTTCCTTCCCATTTAGCACCACAGCTGGTTGGACATTTTCCTCTGTAGTTTCTGCAGATAATGGTGCGTCCTCCTTCTTCTCTTTCTCTTTAAAAAGACAAAAATTATGAAGTCGTGAGTGTATTGTAGAAAATGACACTATTACTGTGTCAAGCTGTAATTAGTGTTTGAATTTATTTTTCTAGCCTACAATTTAGAATTCAAACACATTGGAGGGGGGAACCTAACGCCCCGCGGCTGTGATGCAAGAAGCCTAAAATAGCATTGTTTGGGGATGCATGTTTAATTTATTCTTACCTCTGTGATGTCCTTCACTGGCAGCAATGCAAAATATCTGCATTTCTCACTGTCCCTCCCACCATGTACTTCTGGTCTTGGTGCATTGGTTTGCCTTTGAAGTAGTTCTCCCAATAGATGTCTACAGGGCTTACTACTTCCAATTAGATCATGCAGAGCCCACTGGGTTTTGACGAGCTGGTCTGGGAATCGTATGCCCATTTTTCCCCTTCAGTTTTTATACAGTATTTTTAAATATACAGTATATTAAGGGGTTATTCACCAAGCTGCCAAAGGAAGCCGAGTGAATAACCGACCCAAAGTAAAAGGATACCGAAGCTTCTTCGGCTATTCACTGCAGCCTTGTATGGCTATTCTTAGCCATACATCGGCTGTATTCAGCCCGCTTCACCTCCCTTCAGTCCGGCCGAACAGCCTAAGCATGTACAGCTGAATGGAAGGGAAGAACCCGTTTGCCTCAGCAGAAGCAATATCTGAATCAGCTGAAGCGAACGTCCTATTCTTAAAGGGGCCGAAAAGCAGAGAGTAATTTGCCAAATGCTCGGCTCGGTCATTCTGTTTGTTACCTCTAAGGTAGTGAAGCAGAATGAAAAATGTCATTGTAAAAAAAAAAGAAAAACAAATAGTACGGGGTCCCCCTTCTAAATCATACCAGATCCTTTAGGTCTGGTAGGAATGTTAGGTGAGACCCCCAATGTAAAAAAAAATTAAAAAATGCGTGCGGTTCCCGTACAAATTCATACCAGACCCTTTAGGTCTGGTAGGAATTTTAAGGGGGACCCTAACACCCCAAAACGAAAAAACTAAATGTAGGGTCCCCCCTAAAATTCCATAGTAGACGCTTAATCTGAACAGTGGTCTGACGATCTGGCGGCTGTATCTTAACAGCCATCATCGGCTATTTAAAATTACACCAAAAAAACGGCAGCAGCAGCAGCTGTGTTATTGATATAACCACTTATGCGGGCCGCCGTATATTTACATATTGCGGTCCAGAAGTGCAACTAAAGCCAAAACTTTTTGTTTTGTTTTGGATAGAGTGGAGAGGGATTAGAACACCTTTCAGGTTTTTATTGCTCTCTGTCTCCCCATTAGGGAGATTCACCCTCTCTAATTGTCCTGGTGACTGTTATCACCACTCCATCTAACAATCTCACCTTCCTCTCCTACTATTAGGCCAATTACAAAGCAATTGGTAAACATTTTAAGCTTGTAAAAGTCCAGTGTATAATGAATCATCCTTTATTTGCCCACTTTTACTTTTATTGGCTAAAAAAAACCTGGTCCTCTGAAAATGGATTTACTTTGTTGCAAAGGCCATGACTTCTCTGACTTTGGAATAAAACCCTCTGCCACTACCCCTTATTTCCTGTCTAATTAAATGCTCACCAGTCATTACGGGAGTCTTCAATGGACTAGTTGATGGTAGGTGGTGGGCTAAGCTCTTAAAGTGGCACTAAACTCAGGAGTTAACAAAAATGTATCTTATTTGTGTATCACTCGGCAGTAGATCCTCAAATCATTTCTGCTTCCTGTGTGGTTGGATGGGGCACATATAGTAAGACATTCCAGCTAACAAAGATATAAGCAGGCACCTTCTAGAAATACATTTTAATCTGTAATTGTATTTTTAAAACGAGTGACAGGTTCACTTGAAACAGGGTTGACTGCCTTTATACAAAGCTCTGCACAGCCATTGACATTTTAGAGACACGAAATAGATACGGAGGTAAAGAGGATCAGCTATTAGGTACCTAGCGAGGGAGAGCAAGAAAGAGGTAAAAATACAAGGAAAAGGGGAAGCCATTGGGCACAGCAAGGGAGGGACAGGTAGAAGGATTTCAGGACAGTGTGTGCCTGCTGCCTTTAACTTCTGGATGTGTCACTGTCACAAGAAGAAAAGAAGATCAAGTGCCTTTTAAAGGCAAATTCATTTGGAATGTTTTTTTTTTGCCTAGTAAGATGAGGCTGTGTAAACTGCACCGTACAAAATGGGTCTAGTCACTGCTATTTGAGGGCTGGCTATACACGGGTAAATATTTTATAATGCCACCTTATAGAATATCATTCAATATTTTGTTTGGTTATAACATTGAATTATAGAATAAATGGAGTTTCCTGAACAAAAAGCACATTCACTGTTAGAGGTTTGTTCATTAAAAATATATATATATATCTTTTTTCCGTCACTATGGTGGAAATCGAGTGACAATTTAACTGTATTTGCTGTTAGAAAATGTAAAGAACGTCTGTAAACAATTATTTAAACATGTTTCTAAAACATTAGGCAAAGCTAGTGCACGCTCCAGGCATGAACCGTGCCGGAACGCAATGGATATGGTGTGAACCGTCCCTAAAAGATTAAGTTTATTTTATATGTTTTTTTTTTTAGGATACAGCACCATTCACATTAGTTACCTGTGATGGTGTGTATCCCGCCTCCTCCAGGCTGCTGCTTCATGACAAATTCCTCTCTACATGCCGCTGGATACACCCCAGAGCACCCATCTTCCGGTGCTCTGAGGTTAAACACCAGCAACTATCAGTATGATAGAGTTAAGCCTCTTCCTCCCCCTTCTTGATCCTAAAAGTGCCCATACACTGTTCGATTTTCGGGTGGTTTTGAGGAACCGGACGAAATTTGCACAGTGTGTGCCGCTGTCGGCACCCTTTCGGTCGGCATCCCTCGATCAGCTGATTGAAGGAGCTGGGCGGAACATTTTCGTACGATAGGAGCCGGCAGCCAAACAGCTGCCCACTCTCATTGGGTATTTTGACAGTGGTCAGCGGCCACTGTTAAAATACAATGCAAACAGCGGGATTCCTTGATCAACACACTCCTAAGTGTTTATTGTGGAATATACTCAATTTTTCACGTACAACCCACGGTGCATTCCACTCCTCCTTCATTCCGCTCTTCCTTCATTGTGGTCCTCCTTCATTTCACTACTCCTCCATTCCACTACTCCTCCATTGCCCTCTTCCTTCATTCCATTCTTACTTTATTCCCCTCCTTCTTCATTCCACCGCTCCTCCATTACCCTCCTCCTTCATTCCGCTCCTCCTCCATTCCACTCCTCCTTCAGTCAACTCCTCTTTAATTCCACTCCTCTTTAATTCCACTCCACTTCTATTCCGCTCCTCCTTCATTCCACCCCATCTCCATTCACAGAGGGCATTGCATTTCTATTACTGGAGAAGGAAGCAGGAAGGGGCGGGCTTACCGTGCAACTATACACACTGATAGTCGCTGGTGTTAACCCCCAGAGCATCAGAAGATCGTCTATATGGGGTACATCCGGATGCATGATGGGATGGTTTTGTCATGAAGCAGCAACCTAGAGGAAGTGGGATACACACCACCACAGGTAACTAATGTGATTGTGCTGTATCCTAAACTTCAGCTTGAAGAGTAGACTATCATTTTTTCATTTCTTTTTATAATTAATATTTTGCCAATTAAAAATATCTCAATACTAAGAACCTAACTTCACCATTGCAGACAAGTGATTCTGATGGACTATATACATTCTGCATTTTGGGCAAAAAGTAAAATATGGATTGACATCTCTCCAAACAAGTGAATCTACTAAGATTACATAATTGCCGACCTTTGAAAACTTCCCAATGGCTGTGGCATACTCAGCAATAGTTCCAGATGAAGTTGTGGTGGCAAAGGAGCATAGCTTTACCAGAAGTGAGGGGACATAAGTGTTTGTTGAGTCACATCTGGGAAGGGACTATTTTGCCCCAAGAACTGATATTCATTGCTGGTAAATACAGCATGCTGAAGAGTGCTGAATACTTACAAGCAGCCAGAAATATATAAATGCAGAAGTTCCATGTTAATAAGTATTATTAGGGTTGATTAGGTTGTTAGTTTACAGTATGTGTGTTAGTCACTTCAAGGCTTCATTTATTAAGGCATGCAGAGAGCAATAATGATATACAAAGTGCCATAGCCTACTTGTAGCTGATGAGTTCACCATTCATCTAATCTGAATAGTAAAAAATGATTCACTGAGTGATTGCAATGGACTACGGCACTTTGTACAAGGCTCTATGCCTTATTAAGTAAGCTTGCATGTATCATTACAGTCAGCCAATTATTTAAAGAGCCAGTAAACATAAAAATATATTAACAGACATATTCAATGAGGTACTGCAATGATGATTTGCAAAGCATTTTAGTCCACAGTTGCCAATCAGGTTCCAGTTAACTGAAGTCCTATCTGATGAAATATTCTAATTGGTTGCTACGCGTTCATGCTTTGTAAATATCATTTCCCTTTCCATTGTCCTACTGAATAAACATAATGACATTAGACATATAAAACATAAAAGAGCTACTAGTAACATTTATAAATGTGGCGGCGGCTTCCCCACTGTACATTTAGCTCTGCTCGCCCAAAGCAGGGCTAAATGTAGAAAATGTAGAACTATCTTCCCGACGCCCAGAACTGCATGTCCCAGGCATCGGGAGATAGGAATTCCACACCCCTGCTGCCGCTCTACTCCCTTCTACCCCGAGGCCAGGCCTTGGTTGGCCTTGTGGGAAATCCGGCCCTGAACATGCTGCTCAAAGCAACATATCATTGTTTATTGCTCTATTAAATATGTGTACACGGAGCTAGAGCTGGCTTATTGGTTCTTTAAATAACAACGATGGGGTCAATGGTACCTTTAAGAATATCTATGTCTCATATATAACATTACAGCTATGTATGTGAATGCCTGAGACCTGTTCAGATATTGCCCAATATTACGTACCCTTGCTGGGCATCCTAATATTTTATCATAGCTGCCATGACAGGCAAGTGTAGGCAGTAATGCGATTACAGGGTAGGGAATAGGCTGCAAATTTAAATCCTAATCTTTTAGTTTTGGATAGTGTGGGAAAGTGTTACCATTTCTGAGGTTTTTGTCTATGATGCCATTGCTGAGTTTTCCCCTCACTTCCTTTCCCTTTAATGCCCGTACAAGAAATTGTCAGAAGTTCTAACCCTTCCTCGTTCTTCTTTCTCATCGCTACCTGTTCTGATAGGAAGTGAGTGGAAATGTCCGCAACAGGGGCACACTCAGGAAAAGAAAACCCTGACAGAGGTTCTAACCCTAACTACCCAAAATTAAGTAAAACAACTTTTGGCTGGAGTTATTTTATGACATACTTTTTTTCTGATAATTTTCTGTAACTACATATTCACCTAAGAATGTTATCAAAAACTCTTTTATGCAACCCAGTTATTCAATGTATGTACTGTGGCCCTTTAAATAATAGCCTTTAAACATGCATTAGTACCCAGGTCCCGTGTGAAGAAATATAAAAAAATTCCTCATAAGGTAATATCACTCATCTACAATGCAGCCTGAATGTGCTGCCATTATAGAGTTTTTGAGTGTGATGTGTGTTACCATTTAATGCAGCTTGCAAGCTGTGGATACCATGCAATAAACAGTTTTTTTCTATATAAAGATATATAAAAGTGGATTTTACAGGAGCATCTATAATGTACAAGAAAGTAAGATTTGGACAAATATTGTTGTGGGTTCTAAATGAATTAATTTTTTTGCTTCATGGCAAATCAGACGAGAGAAAAACTGTTTCGCGTACATGGTAACTACAGAGCCGCAGTGTAAAATTCAGAGAGTGGTTTCTTGGGAAGCAGAAGCAAAAGAGGGGTGGACAACAGCAAGCCAGGCCATCTATACTTACTACAGAGACAGGTATTCAGAGTCTGAGGTGACTCCTGCCATGAGACAGCACATGGAAAAAGAAGGGGAAACATTGTGGCGACACACACACAAAGACACAATGACAACGTATGATCACAATGGATATAGATAGAGCTGAAGTGGGAAGAGAGGACACAGGCATTGAGAGCAATATTCCAACAATAGGTATGTGACTTTAGAACAAAACAAAATATCATGCTAAGTGCCAAGACCTATCATGAGCAAAGCCTCACAAGAGTTCCTCTCAGTATATCAAGATTAATTTTACTTGTAACTGTCCAGGACTCTACAACACTACTCTGTATTAAATCATACACAATGTAGAGAGACCGTATGAAATCATACTCAACTCAACTGCAGACTTCTCTTTCTTGCTGCTGCCTTTTCCAACTGGTACAAGTCTTTCCTTGACAACTATCTCTATGGTTCAGTTGCCCAAGGAACATGGTTATCAAGGGATCACTTTCAAAAAGCAATCTATGTGAAAGGAAGAGAAGTCTGCAGGTGAGGTTTAAGAATGTAATTCTACTTTGTGAGATCACAATGAATAGAACGTGACATCTTGAGTAAATGTTATAAATTTTGTTCCACTGACAGCTATCCCTAAGAAAGACTTCACAGAAAAAAAAGAAAAGAAATTCTATATAATTCTAATGTGCATTTAACATGAACATACCATACCCTGGTTCCCTGTATCTAGAAACATACTTGAATTATGCTATAGTCCAACAAAATGACTTTCAGCATCAGAACACTTCTAAGGACCTACCTTCTGATGACTTGGAAGGAGACACAGTCAGAGCAGTGGTCTTTGTGGGACTTCTTATAGGAGAGGTGGGTGGTGTTACCAGTGATGGTTGAGACTCATCCTCAATACCTTCTTTATCTCCTGTATCTGTAGGCACAGAAAATCTGGGTTTCTCTTTCATAACGCCAATGAAAAAACATGTCTAACCAGTGCAGAGAGCACAGTTCACTAAAATGTAACAAATCTATTTATTTTAACCAAAAATTGGGAACCCACTCATGACATAAACTCTACTCTGTTAGATAAATGCGAGATGATGAATAATAACTGTAGAAATGGAAAGTGCCTTTGTTGTTGATATCAACCAGATTCTTGCTTTCGTTCATTGCCTGATCCTGGAATTGGTTGCTATGGGCAGCACATTAAATATACTTTTAGGTACTGTTCTATATGGATATGTAATGATAAAGGAACTAATTATAAAGGTCAGCTTCATGCAGCAGTTTTTATTTTGATGCTACGCAGATAGGTAGCTAATTTACAATGCTTAGACACTAATTACTCCCATCTATGTGTGTGGGGTTATCTGTAAAACATGCAGTGTTGGCCCAGTGGGTCTTGATACAGGGGAGGTGAATATTCAGACAAAGGGCTAAGGAAAAGGAAATTATATTGTGAGGGATAGTGGTAGGGTTACAGGGAGGGTTAGTGTTAGGCTTAGGATTACAAGAGGGTTACTCGAAATATAAGGGTTAGAGATTTAGACATACATGGAGGTTAGTGATAGGGTTAGGGTTACAGGATGCAACAGTATAAGGGTTTTGGGGGAGGGG